CACCAAGGAAACTGAAGAATGGAAGTTCAAGTGCTTAAATTAGGAAATAAAAATGTATTCTCAGAAAGGATGCTTTACCAACCAGCCTTCCCCTGTAAAGTTGGGGGAGGATGGCAAATGTTAGGAGCCTTGAGATCAAAGTAAAAATGCAGATGCTGGCGTCTTGGAGAGGGTTCAGCAGAAAAGAGCACTTGCTCTTTTCCTCGGCACCATGTAAGAAGCTGGGCATAGCCACTATCCCTAGTGCTGCGGGGCATGGGGGAGGTGACAGAGGGGTCCCTGGGACTTGGTTCAGTGAGATAGCCCATCTGGAATGGACGAGGTGGATAGCTAAAATCAATATGTGGGGTTAGGGATATAACTCAGCCTGGTACAGCTGGGTCTTGGATTTCTACTGTTGGATATAAATTGTCTCACAGAATATCCCCCTTTGCAAGCCCACTCTATGTTAGATGAAGACCCTGTAATCACATATGATCAAAGTATGAATTGTCACAGCCTACTCCCTGACGTTAGAGCTTTATGCTCTAGTCTGATCTTCCCGTATACTGGGTTTATTGAGAAGCCCGATCACAGGTTTGTGCTTCTGACATTCCTCAATCTACTTAGAGTGTTCCCGAATCAAAGAGTCAACACCCAAACCCATTACCAACCTCCTCCTTTCACCTTCTTATTGATGTGTCCCATAGTTTTCCCAAGATGAGTGCTGTTCTGCACTTCAGTGAATAATATAACCAGCTCCAATCCTAGTGGCCTTGGATCAAAGGCATTGACACTCACTCTGTCGGAAAAGGAGACACTGTCACACACATAAAGACACACACACACACACACACACACATAGAGACATACATACACACAAACACACACACATAGAGACACACACACATAGAGACTCACATACAAACATACACACACACATAGAGACTCACATACAAACATACACACACATACACACATATACACAAACACACACTCACATAGAGACACATATACACACCCACATAGAGACACACACACACACACAATAGAGACTCACATACACACACATAGACACACATGCACACATAGAGACACATGTAAACACAAACACACACCCACATAGAGACACACACTCATATAGATACACACATACACACAGAGACACACATACACACACATAGAGACACACATAAACACAAACACACACCCACATAGAGACACACACTCACATAGATACACACATACACACAGAGACACACATACACACACACAGAGACACACATGCACACACATATAGAGACACACATACACACACATAGAGAGACACACATACACACACATAGAGAGACACACACACATACCTATAGAGACACACACACAAACACACCCACATAGAGACACACACACATATAGAGACACACATACACACACATATAGAGATACACACACAGAGACACACATACATATAGACACACACACACATATAGACACACATACCCCTGGACTATAGGGGTGAGGTGGGAGCCCATAGTCACACACCCTTTGTATTTTCTTCAATAAGGATTCAGGATAGCTCTTGGCTCTTCCAGTAGGAAGAGGAATCAGCAAACGATCCCCCAAACCATGGCTACAGTTCTCTCCATGCTAGTGCAAGCATGAGTGTTGGATCCGGGCCAGAATCTGTGTTGTCCTGGTTGAGTGTCTCAGTACATTTTGTGTTTGCAGCCAGGCCCAGTGATACCCAAGTGGCATAAGGAAACTACTTTGCTTGTGGTGACCATGGCATGTGGCTTTGGGAGAACAAGTCTGAGTTGTGGGCAAGGCTGGCTCATGGGCTGAGGCCAGGGGTGTGATGGAGATAAAAACCCCTCTCTTTGTATAGCATCCACTGGGAGCCAGATTCCCTGAAGCAGGTCCAGAATTACAACTAGTATTTTCATTTATAGCTTGGTATATTCCTTTCATTACAGGAAGCATCAGCGTTTTCTTGGCTTTGGCTTCTATTTGCACTTGAAGCCTGTGATTTTGTTTGCTTGTTTGTTTGCTACCAATTTACATATTAACTCTTGTTTCTTCTTACAGGCTTTCTCTTTCCATTTAATTCAGCAAGCATCCACTTACCGCATACCACAACACAGCATAGAATAACAAAGATGAATTAAATATGAACAAATAATCTCAAGAAGAGTATTGGCCAGGCTCATATGAAAGAGCATTTCTCTCTCATCCAACAAATATTTATTAAGCAAGTAGTCCTTCAAAGGAGATCAGTTAGCCAGATGTGGTGACACACGCCTGTAATAACCATCTATTTGCTGAGCACGCCTGCATGTGAATGCTGGACCAAGAACTTTGGCGTCTGTCTCTTTCTTTCCTAGAATGAGCCTTTGTGATGGGTGCTGTCATCACATAGCTGATCACTGTACCACTTCCTAGGTTCCTGGGGCTAGTTAGGTGCTAGAAGTAGGATTAAGGCCCCGTCGAAATGACTGGGTCTGTGCCCTTCCAGACACTTGTGACTTGCATTTGGTCATTCTATTCCTCTGATTTTTCTTTTACAAAATGTTGTTGCTCTCTGGAAACTTCTGCTTTGACAAAGCTTTGAAAGTGTACACAGAATCTGCATGTTTTCTAAGGACTTTGACTTTCTTCTCCTTCATCGAGTAACTTATAGAGACACACACACACACACACACACACACACACACACGCGCGCGCGCGCGCGCACACACACATACACATAGAGACACACATACACACACATACATACATACATATAGAGACACACACACACACATACATACATACATATAGAGACACACACACAAACACACAACAGGCTCCGGGATAGACAGTAGACTCTGAAGCTGACTGTACTTCTATTGCTCTATGCATTCTGCACAGCCTTGGGAAGTTATTTTTAATGCCGCATGCCAGAGTGGCGTGTTGAAAGATCCATAGTAACTAGCTAACAGTAACAGCAGGGCCTGCCAAGTAGAAGTTCCATAAATCAGTCATAAACATAGTTACAAAATCAGGGCCAACATCGTGTGCATGAGGGAGTGTCTTTGGAGAAGGCACAGTTTGAGCACAGTTTTATGGGATCACTTTGGATCTTTCATGGGGAGTGAAGAGCTCATGGAAAAGGATTTTTAAGGAGAAAAAAATGGAATGAGAAAGAGGCCTTCTGGTACTTTCTTCTGACTCGGACTTTCTTCTGGGCCGTCAGGCAAACCAGGGAAGTCAAGGTAGAGATCAAGTGATGACTGTATCAGATGCCAGAGTTACCTTCCTCATGGCTGCAATGGTTTTGGAGGCATTCCCTTTCCACTATCATAGCTCATGTTCGGACCTTAATAACTTGACAAACTGAAAACCCCATTGCTGACCTGTCAGACCTCAAACCTACCAAATTCACAACAGTGAAAGCAGCCCAGGTGGCATCTTGAACATCTCATCCTCTGAGTGAGAATTGTACAAGGAGCTGCCAAGTGCTACCAAACTACTTAAAAACTTGCAAATTTGAAACTCTAGGGGCTTCCTTCTGCTGTAAACCTACAGCACACACTTGCAGGGAACGAGATATTTCATTTAGATTTCAATTATGTGTTGGGAAATATAAGGGCTTGCTCATCTGGCAATGGGTGTATTGCCAACAGATGCTAACAAGGAATAAGTCACTTTTGAAAAGGCAGAGAAGTGCCTTTTACTTGTTTGACTTTCTGCTGTTACAGACGATACAGACATAAAGAGAAGACAGTCACCTTCCTCAGGGACTGTCACCCAAGGACACAAATCCATCAGCAGGCAGGATATGCAACTTATGGCTCAACAACAGAGCTGGCGTGTGCTGAAAGGAGTCTGCAGGCCTTCCGGTAGCCACACCCTTCACGTCAGATGGGATTTATCCACTTTCTCCCAGTGGCTCTCCTCTTCCATCCTGTTGGTTCAGAACCCACCATCCTCTTTGTAAAGGGAGATATTGTGGAGGGTAGGATGGGTGGTAGAAACAAGAAGGGAGAAGCCTTGGCATATGCCAGCCAAAGAGAGATTCTACATTAGATAAAACCCCTCTGCATACATAATCAGAGTTCCTGGGGAGAGTGGGAGGAGAGCCCGATTTTTCTTACAACCTTACAGAAACATGAGGTGTGTCTGTGTAACTGGAAAGGCTGGAGGCGTGTGAAGAGAGAGCTATCCCCTGGGATCACCTGTTGCTGCCTCGTCTATCTTCCACTAGCACTTAAACATGTTCAGGATTGCCTTCATCAACCATGTCCCCTCTCGGCCTCCATCAGGAGCTAACAAACGTCTTGCTATGCACTATCTCTGTTTCACTTGCTACTCTACTCCAGCGTCAGAGTGAGGTCTTCTCGAAGTCAGGGGTGGGACCTGCTTTGAAGATCTACCTTTGTGTACCCCGAAAGGATGTCCTCAAGTTTAATTCAGTGTACACGTGCAGATATCGCTGGGCTTGGCACTGTGAGGTAAATGAAAGGGGAACATTCTACTTGAACTTTACTAGGAATGGCTCAACGGAGGAGGGAAGGCGCTAACTATTTACTAATGACAGTGGATGTTTTATGTCACAAGAGAAGGGTGTGCAGCAGGTATTGAGACCTTCCGTGGTAGAAGAATGAACTTCTAACTTTAGAGGAGAATGACAATACGGCAATGACGACCTTCATCATAGGGGGGCACTTTAGGGTGGGGTTTGAGAGCTGGGTAGACACTGAAGTCTGGTAACCTTGGGATGAAGATCATGTTCCCAAACTGTGTTTTACAGCACTCAGGCATTCTGTGAAAAGGGGGAATTGCACTCCATTCAATTTAGAAGACGCTGTGTTCAGGAAAGCCACATTGTACTTCCATTCCAGGCATTTTTAAATGGTGAAGAAACTGTTTTTATGTCATGACAACAGGTGCAAATTGAGAGTGTCCCAGGCAGAATGGAACGGATAGTTATCCTAGTTCTAGATCATGTTCACTTTTGGAGATTTAAATGAACGCTACGGTTGTAAAGAAAGGAAATACGTTTTATACCACCAATTCCAGCATTTGCCAAATTCTTTTGACCACGCAACGCTCTCCTCAAGGGGCACTGACCAGCAACTATGAGAGACACAGAGCAGGTAAATGAAAGAAATGTCAATACCAGAAAGGATTTATACTGGCACAGAGACAACCATGGAAGATGGACTCGGGATGGTTTGTGGCTTGAGGCACATCCAAGAAGAGTGCTGGTGGCCAGATTGCATGCTTTTACTCCCTGAAGGCTTCTGCATGGCAGCAAGCAGTGTATGTGCCCACAACTGGAAAAGAGTTTGAAAGAGTAAGTGTTAAGAGAAACTTTTTCTTGCTAGCCGCTTTAGTTTATCCCCCGCCAGCCGCCTGGGCTCTGCCACATTGTAGTCCCCAAATAAACACACAAGACGCTGTATTAATTATGAAGCTGTTGGCCTTGCTTGTTTCTTACTGGCTAGCTCTGACTTAAGTAATTACCCCATAATTGTTAATCTAAGTATGTCTCTTACCGGAGAGGTTTCCGGGCTTCCTACCCCAATGGCGTTACATCTCGACTCTTTGTGTTTCTCCTACCCAGAGTCCTCCTGGACTCCTAGTCCCTCCTATCTAGATTCCCCATTGGCCAGACAGTACTTTATTGACAAATGCACAGGACTTCCCCAACATCTCCTCTTTTCTGTTTAAACAAAAAGAAAGGTCTTAACTTTAACATAGTCAAATTGTATATGACAGAACAGTTATCAAGTAAGAACACAGTTACAATATTTTGTCAACATTTAGCAAGATTTAAAGAAAATATCATCCATCCCATCCTTGTGAGTCCAAAGTCCTATATGTAGCTTATCTTTTATCATCACTAAGGAAAACTATAATTATAACTATCTGTCTTCAACTCCATCAAAGACCACAGAAGGATAATATATAAACACTAGGATTGACAGAGACATCTTACTGCCTGGACAGTCACCCGAAGTTCCTCTGTAACGTTGGGGCATCCATCTTCAGCCCATAGGCCACAATGTGTCTGGAACACTTCTCAGCAAAGCAGGAAATTTCAAACTGTCCATCTGCGTTGGCAGTCTGTCAGTCATTTTTCTTTGTCCTGCAGAAAGTCTCGTAGACTCTTCCATGAAGCAGGAACCCTGTAAGACTGAGTTCAGCATTCACTTTCCTGTGGGTCCTGCATGTCCAGTTTATACAGCAACAGTCAAACAGTCTAGGCAAGAGCAGTTTCTTGCCCAAATGGCTAATCTTGCCATATTGAAAGCAAACTCCATGACAAGTTTCTTCGATGACCATCTTCCTCTCAGATGTAATTAGTGCTGCCAGGAGCAGACATTTCTCATTGTCAAGAAAAGCCCTAAACCATTTTAAATGCCATTTTCTGAAGGTCTTTGAGAGGTTTGAAGACTGTTTATCTATCTCAAATATTTTTCTGTATATCTAGAAAACCTAACTAACCTAACTATAAGTTCTGACTATTAAAAGTAACTATCTATAGTCTGTATTCAATTATGCATTACGTTTTAAAAGATCAGTATAAGCACAATACTTAATCAAGAGGAGAAATATACATATCACAAAATTGACCTTGAATTTGTATCAATAAATGAAAAACAATACCCATACCATAATTCCCCTTTTTTTCCATTAACAAGAGATCGGCTGTGATCATTAGCCAATTATAAACAATCCCATTTAAATGAAAACAAAGATTTATAAACAAGATGGGAATTGGGACGTCGCTCATTCCAAACTGCTTCCTGCTGGAAGGGGGCGCTGTTCATACCATGGGGATCATGACAAAACTCAGAAACCTGTATAAGTCCGTATTTTCGGGGTTTGTAAAGCTGTATCATCTTAGCTGTCTCAATAGTTGGAACACCTGGTCCACTGCTTCCGGGGGTCTTGGTTCGTCAAACCACAGAAGCCTGGAAGGAATCCTCAGCTTTTCATTTTCTGTAGAAACATAAGCAAAATCTCCTTTTCCAAGTAACATATCCTTATACTTAAATTTTGAAGTCAAGGTATTTTCAAAAGATAGAAGTTGGATTAATTTAGCAGCATTTATAATCAAGTGTACTTTAGTAGCAGTTCTTTCCTGAGCAAGCAAAAAACTGAAAAACACAATAGCATACAGTATCCAGACTCTCTGTGTATTTTCCATCTTTACGTGGCTTATTTATTTATGTATTATTACTTTATTTATTTTACTTTTATTTATTTTTCTCTGAGACAGGGTTTCTCTTTGGAAATCTGCCTGCCTCTGACACTGGAGCAAATCTTACCGTCGTGCGCCACCACAATGCCGGCTTTCCTATTTATTTACCACTTTGTTGTTTCATTTTCTCTCTCAATCTCACGTATATTTTTAAACACACTGTAAACCTTTAGAGATTTTCTTCATCCAAGTCTGACTTTACTGTAAATCTTTATGTTTTTCTGCCCACGTGCCTTATCTGTTAAAACCGCGGCTGTTTTAAACTGCCGTTTCAAGATGGCGGGCGTAAGCGTGATTTCAGCTTACCGCCTCAGTCCATGCTGACATCTAGCAAATGCTGCCACTTCCAGCTGTACGTACACACCTATCAATTGTTAGCAGAGTCTCTTAAAAGAACCTTGTTGGGTTTTTTTTTTCCTTTTTTCTTTTTATGCCGAGTCAGGAAGACTCCAGTAAGCGAGCCACGTGAATCTCGGCTTGTGGCTAGCAAAACAGAGCACACCTGAGAAAAATGCTGCTACCAAAAATCTGTGCTTCTCTCCATTCTTCTGTTTCTAAAATTCCTTTAAAGCTTTTGTTATTTTGCGTGGAAATTCATGATCCCACTCCTGATCACCATTTTGTTAAGAGAAACTTTTTCTTGCTAGCCGCTTTGGTTTATTCCCCCCCAGCCGCCTGGGCTCTGCCACATTGTAGTCCCCAAATAAACACACAAGACGCTGTATTAATTATGAAGCTGTTGGCCTTGCTTGTTTCTTACTGGCTAGCTCTGACTTAAGTAATTACCCCATAATTGTTAATCTAAGTATGTGTCTTACCGGAGAGGTTTCTGGGCTTCCTACCCCAATAGCGTTACATCTCGACTCTTTGTGTTTCTCCTACCCAGAGTCCTCCTGGACTCCTAGTCCCTCCTATCTAGATTCCCCATTGGCCAGACAGTACTTTATTGACAAATGCACAGGACTTCCCCAACAGTAAGAATGTTCAGGAAGGTAAATGGTATGCCTTTTTCTTGCTTTTCTATTTCTGTTCCATCTTTAGTCTTTTAGACTACAGGAAGTGAAAACCTTCAGCCTAATTTCTGTCTTTTGTTGATAAAGGATGGAGGACTGAGCTTTAAAATTCACAACTGAAGTTGTCTCCTCTGAATCGGGCTTTACTTGTGAGGTCTATGGATGAAGGGTGTGGAAACACCCACGCTGGGATAAGCTGCTTGAATTTCCCTTGTGCTGTTGGTGCTCTAGATCCGAATGCACAGAACTGACAAGGCCTCACAAGTGTGCGAATAATAGGAGCATCAAGGGCTGTGGTAGAATATTATTCTAAGGTGTGTTGCTTTTGTTTGTGCTGCATTTGTCCAACTGTGTGAGGCTGTGTTACTGTGTCTGTCTAAAACCCCTGGTGGTCCTAATAAAGAGCTGAAAGGCCAATAGCGAAGCAGGAGCAAGGATAGGAGGGCGTGGCAGGCAGAGTGTAAACAGAAGGAGGACTGAGGAGGAGGAGCAGCAGGAGGACCAGGAGAGGAGGACATCAGGGCCCAGCCACCCAGCCACCCTGCCACCCAGCCAGGAGCACTGACTGTTCTTCCAGAGTTCCTGAGTTCAATTCCCAGCAATCACATGGTGGCTCACAACCACCTTGAATGAGATTTGGTGCCCTCTGCTGGCATGCGGTCAGAAGGCTGTATACACAATAAATATTAAAAAAAAAAAGATATGCAGAAGTAAGAAGGATAAAAGCCCAGAGGAAAAGGTAGATGAGATAATTTACGTAAAGCTGTCAAGAAACAAGCCAAGCTAAGGCGGACATTCATAACTAAGAGTAGGCTTCCATGTGTAATTTATTTGGGAGCTGGGTGGTGGGCCCCCTCAAAAAGCCCAAGGAGTAAACAACATTTTAAATAACAAAGAATCATCACCGTGTAACCACAGCTGTGTTTTTCTGAACCAGATATCAATCACATCCCTGGCAACCCGGTGTGTAGAAGTACGCACGGATTGATCGATTTTGCTCATTTTTGTTTTAGTTGGCACACCAAATATCAACTTTCATTATGTTCTTCTCTTTCCCACCACCACTCCCTCTGACAGGGTCTCATGTAGCCCAGGCTGGCCCCCAAATCAGTATGCAGCTGAAGGTGGATGTTAACTTCTGCTTTTCCCCTGTCCATCTTGCCCATGCTGGGGTTAAAGGTGGGGCCACCGTACCTTGCTAACCTTTTTATCTCTATACTTATGTTGTGCCCAGATTCTGAACCCCAAAATCACCAAGAGACCCGTTCCGGTGCAAAAGCAAAGAGTCTTTTATTGTTGTTGCTTAATGAGCTGACCCCATTAGCTCAGGTCCCTTCACATAGGCATCCCACCTTGTTTGCCTCCCAACTACCCCCTTGCCCCCTCCCTGACTATTATTGGTCCTTCCCCCTACCAAATCATCTTGTTTTTGCATTCATGTCACACAGTTCCCCTCCAATCTAGGTTCAGAAGCTACAGCATAGACCGAATACACACCCAAGACCTACAAACATGCTGCAGAAACAGATCCCCTTTGCTTTATGATTGAAAATAGACTTTTTTTTCTCCCTCTACTCTTCCCAGTTCCTCCTCACCTCCCCTGTCTTCCAGATCCACTCCCTTTCTGTCTCTCCTTAGAAAACAAACAGGCTTCTAAGGGATAATAAAATAAAATGTGACAAAACAAAATGAAATAAACAACTAACACATTGGAGTTGGGAAAAAAAATCAAACAGACGGAAAAGAGCCCAAGAGAAAGCACAGGAATCAGACACCCCATTCCTGCACACACAGGAATCTCATAAAATCACTGAGCTGGAAGCCATAAAATATATGTAGAGGACTTGGTACAGGGCCTTGTTTTCTTAGTGTCCTCCATCCCCTCTGGCTTTTATACACTTTCTGCCTCCTCTTGCAGAGGGTTACCTGAATGCTGAGGGGAGAAATTTGATGGAGACACTTCATTTAGGGCTAAGTGTTCCAAGATCAGGCACGTTTTTACTTGTATATACACTTTTAGTAAGAATGATGACCCAGACTTCTGGCACACAGGAAATGTAACAGACAGTTAAAAGAAGGAACAATTAGCAGTGGTGGGCACAGGTAAGGGAAAAGGAAAAGCAGAAAACTGTAGAATCCCATGGGAGAGCTCACATAGAATACTGATGGCTCTAAAGGCAAATGCTCCACCAGATCTCAACAAACGCTCTCTGTGTAGTCTATCTTTCTCTGTCGTCTTAGAACTGTACTTACTTATACATGTTTGCAACTCATTAAAGGGCTCTGAAGTGTGTTTGATATGGCAAGAAAGCGTATACTAC